TGTTCAGGGAGTACCCTCCCTTCTGCAAACTGCCCTTAAAAAATATTTCAGGAGCAACACTAAGGACATTTTCCCTGTTATTTCCCACAGTGAACTGATGGGTTTTTATTTTAAAGTGAGCCCTCATGTTTATCTGAGCAAGCGCGGTAGTGCATGTGCGTTTAGGGATACCGAAATAGTTTTAGGACAGGTTATTTAATTCTGCAGTAAATACTGTCTGAATTTTTCTGTGTGTCTGAGTCTCTCTCCACTTGTGTCCTCAAGTGACGTCCTGGCTGTGCTCTAGCATTTACCTCTGCCCGCAGGCTTGCTGGCCCCAGGGTGTTAGTATCACCCTACGGAGCGAGAGGATTTCTCCATCTCGCAGGTAATTATCAGTAGTACAGCTGTACAGTGGTCGTACAAGACTAGTTACTTCTTTCTTGTATACGTTCCTGCGTATCAGCATGGCTGCAGGACCAGGCTAACACTGTTCCAAAATCTGTGACAGACTCTTTGTCACGAATAATGGTTGTTCGACAGGAACTGTGATCCTGCGAACTGGAGATGAACCAGGACTTGGGAAGCAATGATTTATATTAAAATCTTCCCTTGTATTGGGCACGTAATAATCTACTGATTTACATCCACTTAGGAATGTGGTGAGTTTTAATCACTGCTCCCAGTGAACTAACTGTACCAGCAGAGAGTATCACATAGCCGAGTGGAGGAAGGATGTGCCATCTCCCTCAGTTTGTGTCCCGTGAAGCCCTGCAGTGCTAGGACATCGGTCTCTGAAGCACAGCAGCAGAATCACACCTTTGTTTCCTCTCTGCTGACAGTTGTGGAGGAGGTAACCTCTGCAGAAGAGTGGGGCAGACTTGTGGGAGAGGTTTTATCTTTTTTAAAAACATAAAGATCAACCAAAAACCCCCCAAACTGAACCATGGCTAGGTTGTTTTGCTCAGTGAAAGTGAGTCAGGGCTGTGATTAAGACCCCACAACAGTGCTGTAAAGGAGCAAAGCAAATCTAAGCATAGGCAGTGATCAGGGACATAAAGAGGGCTGCTGATGGGAAATGCAACACCTTCCATAGGCCTTTTCTTCTGAAAGCGATCGGTGCCAAAGGAATTTGTTAGTTATAGACATAGATTATGGTGCTGTAACTGTGTTCTTTGCATTGCGGATCACTAGGAGAGTAGGATGAAAACAGTCAATGCCAATGCAAAGAAACAACAGGCAATATTAGCTTACTGTCAGTAGAAAAACAGTAAATACTCCCATATACTAACTTTCAGCATGTTTTGAATCTTAAGATCTGGGATTTATTATTCCTCGATAATGCTGCTTCAGATTTATTTAAAAGACTCTTTGCTGATTGGGAAATGCCACCCATGACACTGAAATTTGCTAGGGGAGCTGTGTCAGTTGTAGTGAAACTTATCTTGAAAAATGGAAACAAATTGTTGTTTACCTGATCAGAACGGAATGTTTGGCATCCTGTATGTATTGTCAGAACAAAAAAGAATGTAAAAGATAAACTGGAAGAAACAGTGACTTTTTAATGTTAACAAATTCTCATCAGGAATAAAAAGAAGGTATTTTTAGGATTTCATTCCATTTTCTTTCAAGGGACCCTGAAGGCCTGTCATTTGTAAGATTATTCATAGAAACAAGCTTGTCTCAGGTTTAGGAAAAGCCTTTCTAAAGAAGGATAAGCTATTTGCTGCATGAAATAAGTTCTTCCTTTAAGCTGTGCTGTGTTCCAGGTATAGAACTGGAGCTTTTGAGCTTTCAGGACTTGAAGATGTCCACGTTCCAGTGGCTACTTCAACACTTTTAAACATTTTTATTATTCTTCCCACGAAGGAATGGTTTCCCCTTTATCAGCTTATTTCTCCTGCTCCAGCCTGTTCCTCAAAGAAAAAGTCCTTACATAAATTTATTGAACTATGAAGAATCTCATAGAATCAGCTTCTGTCATGATATCAAAGTGCAACACAGGGAGCGAAATTTCCCT